GGTAGTACCAAACCCAGAGGAGGTTACTCCTAAAAGACAGAGGATCAGTACATCAGGGAATAATATAATACCAAGTTCACAATCATTCAGCCAAAAAATTAGCACAGGTTCCTGGGGGAAAAGGCCTAGGGAAGAATTACAGTCTAAATAAAATTTTCAGTATAAGCAGTCCTAAGGAAGAAGCCTGATCTGACTCTCCTTTTGCTCAGTTTACACATCATCAACAAAGAAAAAAATTATTTATTAAAGTACTCCAGTCATTGACAAATTATTCAGGAGATGGAGCAACTAATGTTGCAATATTGGTAATTTTGGTTTACATTTCTAATCTTCATGGCTAGAAAAATCAGAACTAAAACATTCAAATTTTATGAAATAAGTAAACTTAAAACATGGCAAACTAAAGAATTCTGACCATTAATTAAAAATGACCCATGTGTTAAGAATGATCCAGTGCTTCTGGAGCAAGGTCATTTTCAACAGTCTTCTTTCTACTCATTATCACACATTTATTAAGTTCCTGGAGCACTTTTCAAAAGTACCATCTTTGGGGCTGGTGTTGTGGCTTAGTGGTAGAGCGCTTGCATAGCACATGTAAGGTACTAGGTTTGAACCTCCACACCACATAAAAATAAAGGATAAAAGATTAAAAAAAGAATATGCAAAGAAAATCTACTCTGATTTTGGAAATTTAAAGTATCTGGGTTAGAGATGTGGGCTTTATTCTAAGCCCTTGTCTCTAATAATTAATGGAAAACATACCTGAACCTATTCCATCTATGTACACCAGGCATGCAGCATGGACAAATGATGTCACAGTAGAGATAATCTCTGGTCTTTTCATAGCAGCTTCCTCCCCCATTATGTTCATGAAATTAACCCAGGACAGGATATCTCTGATACTGACAACACACTTGCGGCCAAACTCCTGATGGGTCAGCCAGTCGATGAAATCCAGCATCACCTCAGCTATATCAGCTCCTAAGAAACAAGGAGACACAATTTGCTTTTTATGAAACATCTCAGAACAGAAATTCACACCCTGGGGCCCAAAGATATACAAGAAGGGTCTATGCTCCTTTGCTAATGTGCAAAATTTTGTGAATGCCTATTAATGCTTTTGTTTCCTATGGAAAGGAATCCATAGTTTTTATCAGATTGCTAAGAGATTCATAAGTAGTGTTCCATTCTAATAAAAACAAAACAAAAACTGCTTTGAGAACTATAGCCTAAAAAGCTGTCCTTGAAAACTGCTGAGAAAAGTTATTCATGTTAAGAGACAATTAC